TGTGAAGGCTTTGATGTGCACATCATGGATGACATGATTAAGGTAGGCAGAGCCATAGCTCCAAGCACTGTCCTACTGCCCTTGCCATATGGCCAGTGGCTTGGGCAATGGAGAGCTATTGCAGAGATCTTTACTGATTGGGGTGGTGAGGTTATTTTGCTGGTTTGCATGAGCTGGTTCTCTTCTGATGAGAACTGTTATGTATACCTGGCCTCTTCTAGACCCTGTGCTATAACACTTGAATTGCCCCATGCAATAACCCCTGAATTGGAATCTCGGTTAGCCTCAGATCTGTGAGCCACCACACCATTGGTACTCCTCCTGTCAGTGCCAGTAGCTCATTTTCTGTTGGGACAACCATGTGATAGGAGGCCCTTGCAGGCTTATATATGTAATAGATGTTAGCAGTTACCTGCATATTTGACAGCAGTGGCTGAGCACCAGTCTGCGCCTCAGAACCCAGTGCATCCTTGACAGCAGCAGTGGTGTGTGGCTTTTGGAATGAAGTGAAGAGTGCTCCAACCTGTCTGTGTGAGGAATGTGAGAACAGGGCAAAGGGGCATGGGCCCATTTTTATGGTTAAGAAAATTCTCATATACCCAGAGAAAGGGGGTAGGACGATGGACACTACAGTGTTAACAGTGCATTTAGGAAGTGGTGACCTTTTCTTCTGTTTTGCTTATTGTTCAGTTTACATTTTTCTTGGCGAACATGGATTGTTGTGCAAACTCCCCCAAGCCCCAGAAGGGCAACCACCCCTACCCCTACCCTCCCAGGTCTGGGGATTGAACCCAGGGCCTTTGCACTGAACTACATTGCCAACCTTTTTAATTTTTTTATTTTGAGACAGAGCTTCCTTAATCTTCCCAGGCTGAGTTCAAACTTGGAATCCTCGTGCCTTAACCTCCCTCCTAGAGTGCTGGGATTTACAGCTGTGCATTGCCTTGCTCAGCTAAACATTTTTTTAGGTAAATAAATTCCATGGATATTTCCCATTTGTAGCTCACCTCCACAGCAGACCACTGACTGTGCATGTGTCTAAATATGTGTTGAGATGTCACATGCACAAGCTCTGGATGCTTGTGCCACCCTGGAAACTCTTTAGGCTCTTTGCAGCCTTCCCACCCTTTGAGATGTCTCCTATCTTCTTCTACATAGAGCCCAAGGAAACATGCGGATCCTAAATCTGGCTGTGTCCCTCTACACAATCACTATGGGCTGTGCCTACCTCCCATACCTGCTTGCCTTTTGTCTACACCCCACCTCAACCCTTCCCTGCTTGCTCCTCTTTGACCCTCAGGACCCAGCCTGGAGTCACCTCTTCCAAGCCACTTCCCTCTTCCTCCCCTCCCGCCTTCCCCATTTTTACCTGTACTCCTGTGTTTTCCAAGGTCCTGATCTGACTTGTTTATGTGGCCACCTCCCTAGGCCCTGAGCTTTCTGTTAGATTACTCACAGCTGTAGTGTCCAGTGTCAGTGAGTGGGTGAGTATCCAAGTGCCAGGTGTTTTCACCACTGGGGATGTTTGATCCTCAGAGTAACTCAAGAGTAGGCATTGTCCCCCTTATTTAAAAAGGAAAAAGTGAATCTTAGAGAAGTAGGGACTTGATGTAGGGCAGGGAAGAGAGAAGCCCTGAATCTGAATCATTCTGGGAGAACATACTGTCCCTCATGACTGCACTTCTCCTGGAGGACTCTGGCCATGGAGGTGAGGGTGCCTGTGGCACGAATTGTGTAAAGCCGCTTTGCCTTGGCTGCCAGCTCATCTCTGCAGATCATAAGCTCCTTCTTCTCTTAGAGCGCCCTGGATTTCCAGGAGAGCAAGGAAGCGGAGCCACACCCTCTATGGGAGTACCCATGCAGCAGCCTCTCTGAGCCCCAGCAGATCCTGAACTTTGACTTTAGGCATCTGGTCCCCCAAGAGCCTTTGCGTGCTGAGGGCACCATGGAGCTGAGGAGGTAAGTGGAGGTTCTAAGAGGGTGTAAGGGCAAAGGAAGTGAGCAGCTGCTATTGCCTGTGTGGCCAAGCACAGCTGGCTTGGGAGACACTGACACTAGCTTATAACGAGTCTTGTCTCATCTTTACTTGGCCTTATATCTGTGGCAGTAGCATAGCCATAGGACCTGTGTGGGGCGGGTGGAGTGGGCCTTGCTTGTCCTACCATCTGAGGCTTTCTTATTGGATCTAAGATGCTGGGAATTGTGAACTTTGTTACTATGGTTACCATTAGAACAGTTTCCTGCACTCTCCTGGGAATTAAAGGAGGTTAGGAGTGATGAGGGCTGCAAGGTATGAGTGGCCCCACCTTGCTCCCGCTCCCTTCACAGAGAGTAGTGCCCCCTTTTTCTGACTAGCAGAGGCTGTGAGCCAAGAACTTCTGGGGTTTCATGGCCCAGGGGACTGGTAGAGCAGGCAGGGCAGATACCATTGCCTTCCTGAGCTACTGTCCAGCATGTCTAGAAGTGGTCTGACAGCCTTCAGTGCCAAGGGCTACCCTCTTCAACCTTCAGTCTCAGGGAGGGGAGCTTGGCTGTGCAGCTGAGCAATTCTACCCTGCAGTTCCTAGGTAATGGTCAGGCTGTAAGGAGCCATAGGGATTCTGAGCTGTGCCTCCCCTCACTCAGGCTTTTTTGTGTGGCCATTAGGTGGGTTAGGAACTCCCCATGGGTGAGAGTGGTGAAGACCAGAGCTTTAAGGAAAGTGGGGGGAAATTCCAGTTGTGTCCATCTCACCCTGACTGTCCATTTGGCCCAACCTACTCTCCCAGGCCAGGGAGGAGCCATGGAGCTGTCCTATGGATGGAATACCACCTGACACCAGACAGCACAGTCAGCACCGGCCTCCTGGAGCCTGCAGAGGACAAGGTAGTGCTGTGTGTACCAGGTCCAAAATGTGTGCCAACCCGAGTTGACACTGTCCTGTCCTCTGTGTATTCCTGTCCTGTGTGTTTTAGGCCAGGTACTAACTGTTGTGTCCCTGGGTCATCTGGCCCCTAAGCAGCTTTTTTCCACTGAAAGCTTCTTGGGCTGAAGGCTATGGGAAGGTGGCCCAGGTGCCGGGAACCTTCACTGTCTTCTTGCTGCTTCTACAGGGGTACTGTTGCTGGAACCCCCACTGCAAGCAGGCTGTGTACTTCTTCAGCCCCGCACTGGATCCCAAAATGCCACTGGGCAATCCTCAGGCAGTAAACTATGCTGTGGAGTTCAATCCCCGTACAGGAGATGTCACCATGGAGTTCAGGCTCACAGATACTCTGAACTGATCCTCCCTTGTTAAGAAAATAAAGTATTGAGAGCTGGTGACTCTGACTGAGTTGTGGCTTTTGTGGAAGGAAGGCTGAAAGTACCCATCTTCTTCCAGCGACCTGTTTGGCCTCAGCACAGAGGATGCCTTCTGTTTTTGCATCTTTGGCTCCCAGCTCCAGGTGTGGCAGGCAGTGTGGGCTGGTGACTGATTTGGAGCTGTGGAAGGACCAGGGAGACTCCTATTTCTGGTCTGAAGCTAAGAAAGCTCTAGGGCATTGATGTCTTCTGCCCTACCTGGAAGGGAACAAAGGCACAGTGCTCTCAAGGTGGGTGGGTAGGTGGCACTGTCTGCCTCCTGGGATCTTTTAGGTCCCTGTCTGCCTAGCTCTACTGTAAGCATCTGGTAGGGGATGGAGACACTGAAATCATGACTAGATCCTGGGGCTTGCAGTCTCTGATGGGACTGAGGGGTGAGAGGAGTAGGTTGTGGCCCTTTCTCCTGCGCCACTCATAAATATCTAGGCATCTGGCCTCTGCAAAGTCTTGAGACCTGGATTTCAGGCAAGCAATTCCCCAGGGGCCGCCCTGGGAAGCCAGACAACAGGAAATAGAGCCTGGTGTGGCCCTTCCCCCCCTGGCACTGTATATCCATCCAGAGTTCCTTGCTACCCTCTCAGAAGTCTTGGGCAGATGGGGTATGGTATGGACCACTGCTGCTTTAGGGATAGCCAGATGTCCTAGGAGCCCAAGGTCTTGTATATCTTACACACTCAAGATACACTTTGCGCTCTTCCTGTAAGCGGCCTTAGGTGACCTGTGAAAATGGTCCGCTACTCTCTTGACCCAGAAAACCCCACAAAATCATGCAAATCAAGAGGCTCAAATCTTCGCGTTCACTTTAAGAACACGCGTGAAACTGCCCAGGCCATCAAGGGTATGCATATCCGAAAGGCCACCAAGTATCTCAAGGATGTCACATTAAAGAAGCAATGTGTACCATTCCGGCGTTACAATGGTGGAGTTGGTAGGTGTGCCCAGGCCAAACAGTGGGGCTGGACACAGGGTCGGTGGCCCAAAAAGAGTGCTGAATTTTTGCTGCACATGCTTAAAAATGCAGAGAGTAATGCTGAACTTAAGGGTTTAGATGTAGATTCTCTGGTTATTGAACATATCCAGGTGAACAAAGCACCCAAGATGCGCCGCCGTACTTATAGAGCTCATGGCCGGATTAATCCATATATGAGCTCCCCCTGCCATATTGAGATGATCCTTACTGAAAAGGAACAAATTGTTCCCAAACCAGAAGAGGAAGTTGCACAGAAGAAAAAGATATCCCAGAAGAAACTGAAGAAACAAAAACTTATGGCACGGGAATAAATTAAGCATAAAATAAATGCAAATAAAATTAAAAAAAAAAAAAAAAAGATACACTTTGCTGTTGGCCTCCCCATTTCTGAGGAAGTGAGAGATGCCTAGTAAGAAAAGCCAGGTGGCCTGGCCCCTGGCCCCATTTCAGGGAAGATTTGAGTTGTATGCCTCAAGCCACACCCATAGTCTGTAGTCATCAGGGCCCACCCCAGCTTATCCCTCAAATAAGTAGAGAAAGTCAGCCTTGAGCCTCACAGTTTTATTTCCTTCTTTCCCCATCCTTCCTTTCAGCACCATAAAGGAAAAAAATCACCTCTCTTTTCAAAATATTTTATCAGTTGTAAAGATTGTTTTTTTTCTAGGGAGGAATTGTCTGGAGATGATAACATTTTTACCAAAACCTTAGGTGTCTTACCATATAAAACCCCTAATGTCCCATGAGGATACAATACAGAAATTAAAAAAGTGTTTTTCTTTTTTTAAAACAGTATTTCTAAATCTCAGCAAGTTAATACAATAGTTAAAAAGCATCAAGGTTAATATACTTAAAACTCAAGGTGGTTTTGGATAAATGAAAATGAATGTTTCCTTCCTAAGCCAACCTACTTGCCTTGTGGCTTCCCTTGCAGTGGGCCTGGGCAGGCAAGAGCCTTGGTTTGGATTTGGATGATCCCTTTTACTGCCCCCTCCCAGAATCTGAGATCCTGGCAGTTTGTTTTTTTTTTTTTTTTTTTTTTTTTTCTTTTCTTTGTTTTTTAAAAATCAAAATGGAAAAGCCTTGCTAGACAAAGCCCTGAAGTCCACAGGCACACCATGATGAAAACTGTGGTAGTTGCAGCCTCAGCTCTAAGGGAGGTATGAGGGAAGCTAGGAAGGCAGGCCATCCCCCTGGACACCAGGACCTGACTAGGCAGAGGTGATGACAGTGTGACTGAGGCACAGGGCGGTATGACCTGCCTAAGGCCGCCCTGGGTGTTGCGAGGATGAGAAGCATGTGGCCCTGACTTCACATGTGCTGCCTCACCCTCAGGGTCAGAAGCTGCTGGAGTGGTGCAGGGACCCTGGCCTTGGCCTCAGCTGCCTGCTCTGTGTGTACAGCAGCTTAGGTCTGGGAGGTGGGGGTTGGACCTGCCTAAGTGATCCCTGTGTGGGAACAGAGTCCTGGCTGCTCCCAGCAGTGGGGGACCCTCCACAAATCCTTGCCCAAGTCTGGACAAGGGAGGGCCACACAGAGAGTCCAGGCAGGCTGTGGTTGCACAGTGGCAGGGTGGCTTCTGTGTGCCTGCATGCTAGTACCACTCCCTGCCCTAGGCACGAAGTGGCATTGACCTGGCCATCCCAGCCAGGTGCAGGACCATCCCACAGGTGCCAGACAGGCTGTGTTCTGCACCTTGGCTTCTTGTTTCTTCATCCAGGGTACCCCTAGACATGGCATTGGCTGGAGTAGCTGTTGAGGATGGCCTGGGAGGCCAGAGCCACAGCCCCACCCAGGGGCAGACAGGCAATTCCTGAGCTCAGCTGGCACATGGATGGCAGAAGTCCCTGGGGAAGGATTGGTCCCGAACCAGAGGTGTCTGAAGGGTAGCAAGGGGCTTGGCAGAAGGAAGAAGATGCATTGGCTAGGATGGAAGAGAAGCTACAAATCTGTCATTTTCAAAATGAAGACCCTGCCCCCCACCCTTTTATGCTGTGAGTCCCCTTCTTGTAAAAAAGTGATACCATCTTCTTGGATTTCTGGTTATGGCTCCATGGCCTGGATTCAAGTCTCCTAGAGGAACCACCCGGGTGGGCAGAGCCAGCTGGCCCCTAGTATGTCCGGGCAGGGGAAGGGACCCTGTCTTGGGAGGAACAAAGTTCTACCTAGTGACTTGCAGACCCTTTAAAGTGAAGGGTGATTTTGTTTTAACTTTTTCTGTTTTCTTTTTTAAGATGTAATTGCCCTTGAATGCAAGACTCTGGGAAGAGCCCTGGGCTGGCTGATAATAACAGCCCTCCTGTCCCCATGGTACCCCTTCTAGGCTGGAGATGGATGGCTGGCAGCCAAGCCCAGGAAGTGCTTCTTTGGCTGGTTCTGATTGTGTTTGGAGTCTGGCCTTGGGTGAGGCCTGAGCAAGGGGTCTGGGTAGCGACACTGTGGCACGTGGCATGCGAGCAGCGTGCATGCGAGGGTGCAGGCATGCGAGACGACATTGGCAGCAGACAAAATAACCCTGGACGAAGCTTGAGAAGAGATACGAAGAGCACATAAACTGGGTCCTCATACTAATCCTTGGGTTACAAACTAGGTTGTGCTGTAGATCTGTAGAAAATCACGTTTGGAAAGAATGGCACTGGTTAGGCAGCCAGGGGCTCCTAGGCTGGCCTGAGTCTCTGTCTTCGGAGACACCCGAGAGTCAAAGAGCAGCACTGCTTCCAGGCTCCCTGGGACTGACCGTGGCTCCCACCTTGTCCCCTGTCCTCCCCCAGCACTGGGCGCTGGATGGAGGAGGCATGGCCCAAGGATGGGCTGCAGCTCAAAGGGCAGGCACAGGCCTGCGCTCTGGATGCCGATGATTTGGCTGGACTATGCCTCCTCTTCCCCTGCAGACACCAGCAGCCGCATGGCCACAGGGAGATGGTCGGTCAGGCCGGACAGCTGGGTGATAAAACTGAATTCTTCCACCTCCTGGGTTGTAGGGGCAGGGAGAAGTGCTCTGATTAGACCCAAGTGTATCCTGCAAAGGAGGGGGCTAGGGGCAAAGGATGGCAGCCTCGGGGGTCCTAGACATAGGGCCTCTGGGCTGGGGTTGTGCACAGAGATGGGACCTGAAGATTCCAGGGCCGAAAGGCCTGAAGGAGTAATGACTCATTTTTAAGGGTGTTTTCTGGGGTGGGGTCCAGAGGGAACCTCGGTACTACCAAGGACTACAGGGCAGACTCACGGCCTTCCAGTCGGGGCACAGCCCCTCCTCAGCATGCAGCATGTAATCAATACGTCGGCCGTTGCCTTTCAGCAGGTCCTTTCGCCCCTTCTGGCCACCTCCTGGGCTCTTACTGGTGGGGAAAGCCAGGTACTCCCGCCGGCCTTCCTCACTTTCCAGGACCCTGTTCAGACAGGCAGCAAGGTGAAACCCCTACCCCTATCCCTACAGCCCCAACCAAGCAGGTCCTGTGTGAGGAGCCCTGGTCTCTGCCCCAACTGAGAGTGGATCAGACCGAACCTTGGGATATCTGCCTCTGTGGCTCACAGAGGGCTCATGGTGGAGGGAAGGTAATCCAGAGCCTGTGAATAGGGGGCTGAGTGGGGCCCGCCAGGTCTCTGTCTGACTCATGTCACTTCAGGCTAGCCAGCCCTCACTTTCCCATTTTAAACGTGGACACTGGTTCAGACCACCCCTGCTCTCCAGAAGGGACTCCTGCTCTGAGCCAGAAGGGGCCTGTTTGGGAGACTTGGCCTTTGCATGGAGCCCCAGGGATCTGCCTCCTGGAAGCCCCAGCTCTTACCCTGTGACTATCTCAGATCAGCAGGGGACTGAGGGAGCCAGATGGAACCCAAGCCACATGGGAGGACTCTACATGGGTATGTCCCTAAGTGATGATGTGGCCCAGCTCATGTCGCCAAACCTCCAAGCTTCCATTTTCTTCTCTGAAACAAAAATGGTCCCTGTGGGTCCCAAGCTGTTTGGGGGAAGGGCTGATGTCTCAGATTGAGGAAACTCATTGGTGAGACAGTGCCATTCTTAGCTCTATAGGGAGGACCAGGTGGCTTAGATCCCTCAAGTTCCCCTTTGAGAGGGTACTCTGGGGTAGGAAACACTGCCTAGGGTACCAGGTAGTCAAGGCCTGGACAGACTACTAAGAAGGTGCCTGAAGAGGCTAGGCTGGCAAACATGGGTTTCTGCAAGGTTTTTATCAGCCTTCTGATAAATATACTAATGACACTCAGAATGTTGTTACAGCTCAGAGACATAATCCATTACTGTCCTTTGCCTTTAGTAGTTAATTCCAGCATCAATGATCTGAGAGTTACTGATAGTCATTTTTTAATCATCATCTTATAAAAAGATAATTTTCTCAGCATAGGATGATGTTTCAAATTTAGCCTATAATCTAATTAATTGGCTCAAATTAGCTGCAAGGAGCCATCCATGAGGTTCTGTGTAGTCTCGGGCTGTGAATTATAAATTGGCTCTGCTCTTGGCCTTTCCAGTGTATCCTTTATGGGGATTTTTCTGTTTTTTGAGACAGGGTTTCACTTTGTAGTTCAGGCCAGCTTTGATATGACTGCATAGCCCAGACTAACTGGCTTTGCACTGGTAGTGATTTTTTTGTCTCAGCTTCCCAAGTGCAGCATCACCCCCAAGGTGTCATTTATGGAAGCCCCTGGGTTCAGGAATGAAGCTTGGCCAAGATAGAACTGTCTCTACCTTGAGATTGATCAGCATGTGTTCTCACCACTCATATTTTATTTCCCTAATTGGTGCCACAAGCTGCCAGCTCCCTTCTACAGATTTGTTACCCAGTGACTGCTACAGAGGTCACGTGTGGGCTTGGCCGTGGAAAGTTGTGATTCCCTTTACCCTACCAGCAGGGCTCCACATGGCCCAGACTAGCTGTTGGATCAGGATGCATCCCCTTGAAACCCTTTGTGGCTCACACTTCTTGACAAGGCCAGCACCAGGACTTCTGGGTATGAAGGTTACAACAGCCTCTGCCTGTGTGAGGCCCCGAAGGTGTCAGAGGGAGAGGACGAGCAGCTCCCACTGCAGGGAAGCCCTCACTGGCCTGTGCTAGCTGGCTCGTGTTCCTTCCCAACCCTCATCTCCATCATGAGAGTCAGGTTGTCGCTGCCTCATCCAGACTTGGGAGCTGGTGTGAGTGGGGTCCCCACACAGGCACTTACTTTTGCAGATTGTCAGGGGTGCACACATCCTCATCGTAGAGACCACTGGTGTCCAACAGGGTACCTAAGGACAAGGGCAAGAGTGATCACTGCAGGCAGGACACAGCCAGAAAGTGGCCTCCATGGGTGGGAGGTCAGAACTCACTGGGGCCTCCACGGGCTTGGGGCAGGTCCTGGTGGTCCCTTCTTGGGAAGCCTGTTGTGACCCCAGTCTCCCACCAGCCCCTCCTGAACTCAGCTCACCAATGGCCCACGGCTTCTCCTCCCCAGGCCCCAGGCGGCAGGGGTCCTTGTATCGTGTAAACAGGGAATGCTGCTGCTCCAGCTTGTCATCTGTGGGGAGAAGGAGATGCTGTGGGTTGTCACTGACCCTTACATAACTGGCTTTGGGTGAGTTCTTTGTTTCCACATGTGGTCCTTTGTGATTTGTTTCTGTGTCCTTGAAAAATACACCCTCTCACACACCCCTTTACCTTCCCTCTAAGGACAGTAGTCACTGTCCTTGGGTTTCAGATGACAGTGACCTCAAGGTTCCAAGCACTGTGACAAACATGGGAGGCTGGCAGTGCTGCCCAAGCAAGATCCCTGCAGCAGGGACGTCCCACAAGGCTGGGAGAGGAGGGTGTCCTCCCCAGGGTTCCCACTTCTGCAAACTCATTGAGCAAGAAGGGCCCTTCTGTGGCCACACAGGGAAGAGCACTGAGGCCCAACCAGGTGTGATTCCTTCCTGTAAGTGCTGGGTCCCTACCTGACTTGGGGGTTCCAGTGGCATCAGGCACGTGACTGTGACAGGGCACCCAAGCCAAGGAGGCTTAGAATGAGCCAACCCCCCAGGAGAGTCTTACAAAATTAGTATTACAAACTTTATATATATATATATATATATATATATATATATATATATATATAATTACTGGAGTTTGAACCCAGAACTTTCACATGAGCTACATCCCCAGTTTGGTTGTTTAAATCTTGAAATGGGTTCTCTAAGTCACAAAATTGTCCTTGTTAGGATTGAAATCTCAAACTCCTTGCCTCTACTGCCCAGAATGCTGAGATTACAGGTGTGGATTACCATACCTGGCAATAATGATGAATTTTTAATGTCATTAGAGCCCATGTCCTGCCTAAAAGTTAAGGCATGAGTCCCAAGGGCTCACATTCCCATTCAATCACTTACTGACTGTGTGACCTTGAGTCCCAGCTTCCTCAGTGCCTGCCTCATAGTGTTGTTAAAAGAGATGTAAGTGGAACAGCAGTCAGAACCCTGCCAGGTGCAGTGTAAGCACTAAATTCCCTCCTTTGTCTAAGTTTCTGAAGCCTCAACCTCCCTCGCCAAAGGTTCATTTTTAGGGCATCGCTTTCCAGCAAGGGGCAGCTGAGTTTTTCGAGGTAGAACATGGGGTTCTCTGCTCTAGGGCTCCTGAGGGGGCTGAGGGTGAGGAGAAGTGGAATATTCTTGCTAAACTTCCCACACACGCGTTTATGAGGAGCAGGAAATCCTTCCAGCTGCCTAACCCAAGTCGTTTTGACTGGAGCCCACACAGCTTGCAGAACCCAGACCCGAGGGGCGGAGCTCGGCCTCACCAGAGGAGCAATTGTCAAAGTTCAGGTCTCCACAGATGACGTCAAACACCACCAGTTCCTCGGGGTTGGCTGCGCTGGACGAGGAGGTAGATTTTCGAAAATCAGCCAGCCAGTCCTGAAGCAGGTCTAGCTGCTCACAGCGGATGGCGCTGTCCTCTGCAGGGCAGAAACTTCACATTGAAGCCTGTGCTAGGCCCCTGGCACCTTCACACCCTCTGTAAGCTGCAGGAAGCAGTGACCTACCTGGTGGAGCGTGCAGGTGTGTGCAGGCGATGTACCCAACGATTCTTTGGTCCTGAGGTGTGTTTCCAACCTGCACCTAGGGGTGAAGCTGGGTGTCAGTGTCGCCATCTACTGGTCAACACTGGGACACCAGACACGCATGTCCTGCTTTCCCCCTCAGTACGCCCCTCAGAACGCTTGCTCTGAGCTGGGTTCTTGGTGGACTCGGCCCGGATGAGGACAGAATATGTCCTGCTCCCCCAGGTTACAGCCTGCTGGGGAGGACAGGTCAGATGATTCACAATGATGCACAGCTGCAGTGCAGGGCGGGTGGAGGAAGTGCAGACCCCACAGCCAGTTCCTCCCAAGCCATCATCTCTTGATGACCAGAGCACCTGCCTGCATGACCCTCAGTTCCTTGTCCATTCACATCTCGTGGCTCTTTCCCTCCTCAGCCACCCAAGACCAGATCTGGCCTCATGTTCCCTGTATGTGAACCTGACCTCAGAGCTTGCCCCTCCCTTCACTGTGGGGGTCTTACACTGCCACCCTCCCACTGTCCCCAACCCCTGCCCCTCTGGCTGTGTGCTAAGTCACTTCATCTGCTTTATGAAGTGTGTGGTCCTTCCATGGTCCTGCAGGTGAAGTGCATGGTCTCTCAGTTTGGAGCGGGAGTGCTGAGCTGTGTCCTGTGTCTCTGGACTTCTGTGTCATGCTAAGCCCAGTTCTCCCTCCCTCATCATGCCCTAACACCTGCTTGCCCTGGAATTCTGTCCTCAGCTCCTTTACCAAGGACAGAGCTGCATGGGGGAGGAGGGCTAGGGAAGGGGGTAACTGTACTCGCCCCCACCCAACTTGGTGATCCTGGCAGGCTGTCGTCAGATGTAGGCTTAACAAAAATGGGTATCTCATTTGTATGTTACAAAGATGACTCAAAGCATCCCCACCCAAGGTTAACCCCTAGCTCAAGTTTGGGACCTTATCAGTGCTCCAGGTGTGCGTGTGTGAAGGGTGACCACAGAGCAAGGCCCTCCATACCACCATCTGGCTGCCTGAGGGCTCTCCCAGGCCCTCTGATCACAGTACAGTCACGAGAGGCTACTTGAGAAGTCCTTCACCGGGCTGCTCCTCAGCGACACCATGGGAACCTGTCCTCAAAGGCCACTCTTAGCTCCTCATTCACGATGAGCCTGAGCTACCCTCCCCAAACTTTGCTACTGCATTCTAGACTGGATTTCCTGGTATGCTGAGACCTCATCCAGAGACTCTGGGGAGGTGGGCTGTTGGGCCTAACTGCCCTTTCAGTCTTTAGCTGAGGGCCCATAGTAACCATGTTGCAGGCCCCAGAGCTCGAGGGTCGTCCATGTGTCCTGTTCCTGAAGCTGGATAGTCAGCGTTCTCCATCTGGATGCAGCTCTGGCTTTCTAGAGCTGCTCCCTTTCCCAGCCTGGATGCCCATCTCTCCTTCTCTGGCACCTGTGGGATGAATGTCTGAGAATTTGATATCAGGCTCTGTGGTCTGAATTTGGGGCTTTTTCTGAACTGATATGTTCACCATTCACTTCTCCATATCCCAGATCCAAACCTGCCCCTGGAAGGGCTCTGAAGCCATCTGTCATTGATCTGCCTATCACAGAAGTGCAGTGCTCAGAAAGGGAACAGGATGGCAATATAGCCCCAGGGTTCACCTCAGTGGAAGCACTTTGGCTTATTGCTTTCTCACATCAACCTTGAGGACAGCACTAAAAACCTTCCATTTATATGGACAAGTACACTGAGGCCCAGAGAAGTGTAGTCATGAGTGTCAAGGCTCAGATGGGTAAGGCGGGGGCGCACTAGATCTGTCGGCTACTGCACCTGTTCTGAGCTGCCAGTGTCTCTGCTGGCTTCTCTCCAGCCACCTTTTTTATTTTTATTTTTTAAAATGTATTTGGTTGTTACAGGGTCTCACTACACAGCTCAGACTTGTGATTCTCCTGCTTTCAGCCTCCCCAACGCTGGGATTACAGGCTTGGTGCCACCATGTCTGGACTCTGGCTGGCTCAGCCCACCCTGTAGGTGGGGCTGGCATGGCATGTGGTGCCAGGAATTGAACCACCGTCCCTGAGCTTGCCTAAGCAGGCACTCACCAGCCCCTCCAGCCACCCATTTGTTGATCTTAATGTCAACCTGTCCTTTGCTCAGCACTAACATCATCACCTGCCTTGTGCTGAGTCCTGGCCAGGGATAGGGGACATGTGCAAGAAAGGCATTGGCCAAGCCCTGCTGCTGAGGAGAAGGCCAGAGGGGAGGTGCTGCCTCTCACACATCCCTGGATCTCACCAGGACCTTTTTTTTTTTTTTTCTGTCGGGACTCACTGATTCCTGACTTGTATCCTTAGGAGCCACAGAATCATGTTTTTCTCACAAAAATAAACCACCTCAAGGGCTGTGCCTTTTAGTTCTGGTAGGCAAAGACTTAATATTAAAGGTCCAGAAAATGCTGTTGTATGAAGGCAGAAAGGACTCCAGTCCCTTCTTTCACAAGGAGTCTGCTCCCCAAAGGATCTAAAGTAGCACAGAGCACACCATCAAGGCAGGGCGAAATGAGGGAGGTGAAAAACGTTCGCTGGTGGCACCCTGGCTGCTAACCCCACCCCTCCTAGCTGGGACTGACTCCCTGAAGCCCCCGAGCCCTCTTCCATGGGAGAGGGTCAGCAGACGGGGACTGGGGCCTTCTGTGTGCTCCCAGGTCATTGCTCCGCTCTCAAGGGCAGTATCTGACGGGACATCCAGAGTGCAAGGTAGCTGGGCAACAGGCTGAGAATCCCACAGAGGTAAGCCAGTCATGCTGGGTAGGACCAAGACCAGCAGAGCATGGAGTGTGGCACAGCAGGGGCAGAGCTCAGCTGCAGTGAGGGACAGGTGGGAGACGACTTCCCCGAGTCAGTGGGGGTGAACCTAGGTGAGAAGGCAGGGCAGGCTAGAAGGGGCGGGCAGCCATAAGCACAGCTGGGCCAACATGGCGATGGAGCCTGAGCCAAGGCAGTGGAGTTGGCCACAGGGCAGAGGCAGGGGTACCGAAAGTGAAATTGAGTCACCCAGGACAGGTAGGGTGGGCATGAGGAGCAGCCAAGGTGGCCTCTTTGGGCTTCAGGATGAGAATTCCTAGGGAAGATTCTGGGCTTAGTTTGGGGGTAAATGGGATGTGTCCAGGGGGCAGCCAGATGCAGGAATGAGGCTATAGGGAGAGATCTGGGCTGGGACAAAGCTGAGGTCATCAGCAATAGCAGATAGGGAGGCACTGGGGCCACACTGCGTGGGAAGGAGCAGTGGTGATGGTCACTGGGAAATGGAAAGCGCTGGCTAAGTGGGGTTGTCCCAACCCCTAGGTGTATCTGCCTGCAGCTGTGTGAAATGTGGCAGGCACTACCACATCTGCTGAGGTGTTGAGAGAGACTGCAAACTAGGATTTCTGTGAAATATTTTTTTTAAACATTGGCCAATTCAAGAAATAATTTTTAGTGGCATGGACCAAATTAAACATATTCTCAGACAAATTTGAGGCCCAGGTGGTAAAGGGAAACAAGAAGAACATTAAGGACAGAGCTGCAGAGGAGGGGCTGTTCCAGCAAGACTTGCTCACCTTGGTGGGCACAGTGATCAGGTGCCAGGAGGAAGGAGGTAAAGGGACGAGTGGATTGGGCTGCACCAAAGTGGATATGGGGGTGGTCTCTGGTTTCAGAGCCATCAGAGATGGTAGGGGTGGGGAATGCAGGTACTCACACCCTGAGCCTCACAATATATCCCCCTTTTCCTCACTCTGCCTGCTGAGACAAAAATATATGCCCAGAACAGAACCATATGAGCCATATGCCAGAACAGGAAGGTTGACTGTATTTGTCAGCGAAGTTAATGCAATTTCAGCATCTCTGGTTGTGAACAACAAGGTGTGTGACTTAACACTTGAGACACTGAATACCTGGGAGTTGGGAGCTGGAACCCTTGTGTTACTGCCTGTCTCCAGGAGGCTCTGTGGATGCAACCTGGCACCAGCTCACATAGCAACATTTTTCTGGACAGACTGAGTGTGGTGGCTTTGAGATGGGAACTGAGAAGCCAGGAAACCTGCCCTGGCCTCTGGGTCGTTCCTCCCCCCACCGCCCAGTGTCTGCTTGGTCACATCTCTCTCCTTAAAGGGAGAGAACCCACACCCACAGCAGTCACTGCCTCTGGGGCACAAAGCCCTGTTCTGTATCAGCTGGCCAAAGGTTGCTCCAGAAAACTCAAAGAACTGAGAGTAGTTTTTGGATAGAAAACAGAAAGTTGATGCTCTGAGCATCTCCAGCTCAGTGGATGATAATGTGTAATGACCAAATTACCATGGTCTAAAAACTCCTCCAATTGCATCCAAATTAGCAGAAATAATTATGATTCACTTTAATTAGTGACTGTGGAAGCAAAGCCCTGGGCTGGTAGGCAGAGAGCCTGGCATAGCAGCTGCTGACAATCAGGAGGGAGGGCTGTCCGGGCCAGTGAGCTGGTGGCCTCAGCAAGCTGGGTGTGGCCATGGCCCTGGGGACCTGAGAGTCCTGCCTGCCTGTACTCTTGCTTTGCACCGGTCTCTGCCTCTTCTTCTTCGTCCTGTCACTGCTGGTGTCACTAGGACCATTGTCACTACATGCTACAGGAGCTGAGCCCCCTCCCAGGGTTGCTGTGTGGTTCTCAGCCACCCAGTCCCCATTTTACAGACTGGAAAATGGCAGCTCAGAGATCTGAAGAACTGGTCCCAAGCTCTGTGAGGTCTGTGTGGACCTGGGGCATTGGTTCTTGCCTCGGTGTTTGTATGTCCCTTGTGCCTGAGCTAGGAGCCTCTGGTGCAGTTCCATGAAAGCCCTTGTCTGCCTCCCACCTCAACCTCCCAGGATGAGGAAGACTCGCCAGCTGTGACCCACTTTCCCATGTGGCCCTCAGGTTGGGCCAAGGCCTCCTACCTTGAGAAACAGCGCTCCCTTAGAGGCCAGGGCATCACCGCCGCGACCGTTGGGGTAACAGTGATAGGCCACATCCATGATGGGGTAGCGGCTGGCAAAGAAGAGGCCACTGTTGAGACACTTGAAACTGCAGCAGCCATGGCAGCCATAGACCCCCACGTCGTACAGGATGTACTCGAAGTAGCCATGAAGCTGCTCTTTCAATTTGGCAGCTGCCCGCTTATCAAACACCTCCTGCAGGCACAGGAAGTCCAGGTTGGCAGGGAAGAAGGCTGAGACCTCATGGTCAAAGGCCTCATCAGGGTGCCGCCTCCTGCGTGTGGCTGCCTTCTTCACCACTGAGGTCTTGTATAGGAGCTTGCTGTTGGCACCTGGGTCCCCTCCACCACTGTTGTCTGGCCCAGCTCGTGCCTTCACCAGGGACTCCCTGGAGGCTGAAGGGCTGCCCAGGCTCCCCGAATCCCCATCCTGCTGACTGTGGTTGGGTGTCTGGCCCTTTGGGCCCCCGCCAGCCCCGTTCTTGGCCTGGCTTCCAGGGGCAGGGTCTTCGGCTTCAGGTGGCTGCCCCCCCTCCTCGCCACTGATGCGGATGATGCAGGCATCCTCAAGGCTTCCACTGTCAGCCAGGTCCCCAGAGGCAGGCCCATTGGCAGCCTCATCACTGGGGCGATGCCCGCCATCACCCTTGTACTCCACAGAGGCTGTCCTCTTAATGCTCCCAGGGACAGCCCTGGCCCCACCATCACCGGCCTGCGGTGACACCAGGCTGCTGAAGCTGGCTGCACTGATAGAGGTGTTCGTGGGTGAATCAATGTAAATTTTGATTTGGGGCCGCGCAGCCCCATTGCGGATTCTCTGCCCGATCTCTTTGGCTCGTGCTTGGGTGTTGAAGACATTGTTGAGTCTGGCAAGTGAGTCAGGAAGGAGGCAGAGGTTGGCAGTGGCGAAGCAGAAGCTTTTTCCAGACCCTGTGCCCTTCCATTCACTAAGTAGGGCTGCCCCACCAGCTAGGCCCTTGTCCTCCAGCCGTGAGTAGATGTAGGGCCGGCGGGCAGACTGCAAAGGTGACCAGAAGAGGAAGCCGAGAAAGGCAAAGGGCAGCGCGGCCACAAGGAGGGCCAGGTAGATGGGTGTGAAGAGGGCGGTGCAGAGCAGCTGCAGGCAGCACGGGTCGTCTGCTCGCTGACGCTTCTCGTAGGTGGTGGGGATGAAGGAGGCTATCAGCCGGTCCACCAGCCAGTAACATGGGAAAATGAGGGCCCAGGACACAGCGTGCAGGGCGGACAGACAGCTATTAGGAAAGGGGGTTGTGTACAAAACCATCGCAGCTTACTGGGCGCCGCGGCCAGCCCTACTACATGGTGTCCGTGGCAGCCGCGGCACTTTACTGGGCAGGTGTGGGCAAATTGGGGGGCGGCTGTAGGAGGGGGTCACCTCGTGGCGAGATGTAAATCTGGGTGGTTAGTGGTGAGCGCCAGCCAGCCAGGCATGGTTCATGTCAATGGGCCATGCTGGGACACCAAGGCCTGCTGTGAACCTGCGGAGACAGAAAACAAGACGGCTTTTACTGATTTTTAGGGGAACAGGATGGAGCCAGCAGACACATGCAGGTTTTTGGGGGGCCTGGTGATGACCCCAGCATACTCCGTTTGTCTGTTTTTTGTGTTTTATTCTCTTGGAATAAATAGCATGGTGACATAACTATCCCTGACTCTTTTTTTTAAATGTATTTAGTACGGGTCTACAGAGTCTCATTATACAGATTGGACTCATAGCGAACCTTCTGTTTTCAGCCTCCCAAGTGCTGGGATTACAGGCGAGCACCACTACGTCCAGTCTCAGTGGCCATCTCAGTGTACCAGGGATCAAACGACTCTTAAACTTGAAAACTAACTGCTTGAAAAATGTTCTGAGGTGTACCATGTTGTGCATGCAAAGGGGACAGGATAGGGATCCTAGAGGATGCCTGCGCCTATACTGGCCAGTAACAGCCTGAAGCCTTCAGAAGTTGGGATGTGTTTCAAATGGGTGGACAGGCCAGGTACTGTGGTTATGCCTATAATCTCAACATTCTGGGAGGCTGAGGCAGGAGGATTGCAATATTTCTTGTCCAGGCTGGGGATATAGCTCAGCAAGAAGACTATGGGTTCAAACCCTGGTACCACAATAAATAAATAAGTAAATGTGGACAGTGACCCTAAACCAAAGGAACTGCAAAAACAGCAAACCCATCACTGAATAGCAATTAGGTCAGGGCAGAGAAAAGGGGCCAGAGAGTCCTGGAGCAAAGGGCAGTGTGGCTGGCAGGCCTGGAGAGGGCAGTCCACCCTTATACAAGCCTGTTCTGACTCTGGCCCTGCCTGCAGCAGTGAGCAAGCTCTGTGCTTCACCCCAGGGACCCGTGGAACATCAGCCAGAGGGATCCAGGCACAGCTTGTACATTTGCAACTGCCAGAGGACCCAGGTAGTTACCCAGCGCAGGGGCCTGGCAGTCTTTGCATCTCACCCACACTTTGACCACTTTCCTGCTGGTGCTTTACAGTGCAGCCCCAGATGAAGCCTGTAGCTACCTGATTCTTTCACCCTGGGTCTTTGTCCTAACCTGTGCAGGAGCCATGTGGCTTACGTTGCCAGGTATACTTGTGCATTTATTGTGCTGAGTGCTCAGTCAACTAAAACAAGTCTGTGTGTGTTCCCAGCTCTTCCAGGGGCCAGGAGGCCACGGGCCCATGGGTGCATATTCTGAAGGGAACTCCTAAGCACAATCTTGTGCTCTCTCACCAGACAAGCCAGTGGATCACTTCCAGTTCAACAGCTACCTGACCCAGCCCAGCTTCTGCCCTGCCACCTTGGTGGGTCTGAGTCCATGTTGCCATCATTCATCCTGGCCCTACACCTCTCTTCTTCCTCCTCCTGAATCCTTGGTCATCCATGCCAGGGACCTGGGTATCTCAGTCACCATACCCCACCTGTCCCCTCTTTTCCTGCTGGAACTTCTGTGGGTCTGCAGTGCACCACCCTTCACCAACTTCGTCAACCTCTACCATCCACATGATCCTCAGCCAGGCCTGCCTGTCTCTGTAGCTCCACCCCTGTGGAGCTCCCTTCTGATTCACTGTGACAAGGGTGACCTTTTCTCTCACCCCACTTCTCCTTGCCTCACTCACCCCTTCTCTTAAGGCTCAGCTTAGAAATCATTTCAGGACTCTGTCTCCTGCTTGCCCAGGTAGCATACAGATACCTCCACTGTGTGCTCCTGTCCCCTGTGAAAGTGGCCTGGTCTCTGCAGTCCTGTATCAAAGCTCTGGGAAGTGTCCACCTCCTCAGGGCACCAGGAGCTCCTGGAAAGAAGGATCTGCACAAGGTCCCTTGCAGGGTCCTGGCTGGCAGGGGCAGGTGCTCCACAGATGGAGCTGTGAGCAGAGGTTGGTCTATGATGCCTCTGGCCAGAGAGAAGTCTAAAGATGAATCTAAACTGGTGGCAACGTCTACTTCTGACCAATGAGTTTCACAGAGATTTTCCTTTCTCCAGGTGAAATAATTTGGAAGGAAATCCTGGAACATCACAATCTGGAGCAGCAGCTTGTCTATGCAGATCAATGCTCAGTGCCTTACTGAATGCTGGGGCCCGGGTTGGTTCTCTTTGGCCAGCGCTCAGGGGAGACTGGGGTGCCCACAGTCATCCCACACCTGCCACCTGGCTTGGGAGACTTTAGGACACACTCACTCACTCTCTTTAAGATCCCAGCAAGACACTGCTTCAAGAGGACTCTACCCTGGCATGGAAGCCATAGCCCACTCGCTCTCCCACATGGGTTGCATGGATCTCTTCAGCAAATCCCTGGTATGGAGAGCTAGCAGGATTCTGCCTGGCTGGAGTGGGAACCATGGGAGAGGACAGTGAGCTGCCCACACGGACCTCTGTCCCTGCTGTACATGCTAGGCTCCTAGGCACTACCCATGGGTCCTGTTCCTGCTGGAGGAGTGCAGGGTGAGAAGAGTCTCCCACAACTCCTTAGACACCAGCAGTCTCTGGTTGGTACCAAGGTCCTTGAAGAAGGTCTAGGCCAAATTTTTGAGGCTACCTGCATGTCACCCCAGAGTCTTGGAGCAGATCCACTGTCTCCCTCCCTCGTTCATCACTGTGGCCTGAGGTCACCACCCTGGCCCTGGGCCACAATCCTTACCTGAGCTCCTGCCCTACCTTGGCACTGTTCTTCCAACTCCAATCTTAGCCACAGCCCCAAACCCAAATGTCCAGTATCTGTTGAGTCCCTCTGTGCTCCACCCCTGCAGTAATGCAACATACCACCACCACCACCAGCGCCACCACTACCAGCATGGTGCTGTCACTACTGGAAGCCAAGCCGTTTGATCCTGGTGGGTTGGGAGTGCCTCAGCACCCTTGTCAGCCTGTGGCTGAGTCTAGGCTGTGCCCCCACATTTGCGGAGGAAAAGAACAGTGACCAGCTAAGGAATGAGAACCCTGAAGCCTTAAAGGATGAGGTGGGGTGGACTATGCAGGCTGAGGCCTGGGATGACACTTTAGGAGAATGGACTGTGGAGGAGACAGTCTGTTGGCTACCTCAAAAGAGCACTTGCCTGTGTCACACAGGTACTGGAGCTCTGCTATGGTCAGAGGAGGATGTGTCCCACTTCCTCACAGGGTTCCTGAGAGAAGTTCTTCAACATTCTGCCCTCTGTCTCCCCCCCCACCCCGTGTGGCTTGCTCCAACACCGACTGATCAAGCTGGGTATACTGTTGGCTGGGACAGAGCTTTTGGGGGGCGGGGAGAGAGTCCTCTTCATCTGCCCCATGTCCCTTTTACTCCAACAGTGACCCCACAGACCCTTCTAGGTCAGTCCTCCCAGTCTCCCAGGCTTGGTCTTTTTGCCTCTCCTGGATGGTCATAGGCTTGTTTCTGGTGCCCATGCAGTTAAGGATGGGACCCAAGGTGGCTGGAAGCCCCAGGGTTAAGGGGCTTAATGATGCCACAACAGGGATGTTCTGAGCTGAGACAGCCCGAAGTGTCCCAACCCTTCCTCCCAAGATTCAAGGCCTTTTACAGCTACTCTAGGTCCCCAGCCCAGAGCTTCTCACCAGCCTCCATGCCAGATGCTGCCATGGGCCTTGCCTTGTGTGGGGTCCTCACATCTACACACAGAAGCTGCTGCTGCCAGAAACACAAAGGAGGGGACTGCTGCTGCTGGGTGGTTTCAAAAGCTCTGTGGTTAATTATTTTGTCTCAGGGAAATGAAAGGAGGGTAAACAAATAACACACGTTAATTAGTCTGATCTACACTTTCCCCAGTAAAAGAAGCATTAAACAGCAGAAGCTAGCAACTTCTTAGAGAAACCTTGAGACCTCAGGGTGGCAGAGGCAGGATGTGGCTTTCAGGGTTCTGGGGCATGGAGCAGCTGGGTGCTCAGCCAGACCTGTGCCTGGCTCCTTTCTCTGGCCTTCAATGCTGGGGATGGGGGAGGGCAGGTAGGGGCTGTTGTAGGTGGGCAATTCTGTCTCAGTTCTGTCTCCTTTCCTCTCTCCTGAATGCCTCTGGGCTGGAGCTTTGCCAAGCAGAGTCCATCATGAATGCCTTTGATGGGGTCAGTAGGTACCTCCTGAGGTACCATCCACAGTGTGAGCCAGAGCCATAGCCTTCACTAACTTGTCCCTCTGTCCTTCAGCGAGAACTGGACTTAGCCAAGGAGCCAAGTCAGACAGAGGGAGCACGGAATACCATGCTTCACAGGTAGAGGGAGCCAACATAACCTTACATCCACTTGGGAGAGGAAGAGGTAGACAAATCCTGGTTAGGATCCAAGAGGTCATAGCCCCTGCTGTTTCCAGGAAGGCGTGGGGCACTGACAACAAGCAGAACCATGACGTGGCTGCTGCTTCCAGTGAAGCTGTTAACACCAATACACCTGGCTACCACTCTGTGATCTGCAGGCATGGGAAGGCTGGACTGCGGCTGCTGAGTCTGAGTCACCTGAGCTGAGTGCGGCTCTTCACCTGACACTCTGGTTGGTGGGTGGGTGGGGAGCAGGGACCAGCTGATCTGCCTTCGCCAGGGCAGGACTGGGTGGGCAGGACTGCTGCCACAGGACATCAGTTAGCACAGGCTCAGTATCTGCTCTGGGAGATTAGGACCTGGCTGCACAGTGGCTCCAAGGTGGGCATTCACTTTGACTTTGAATTTATTCTCCAGTGGGAAAGCAGATAAGCCAGAGCAGTTACACTGGCTGAGGTGAGCCGTGGGCTCCATGTGGAGGATCCCACTGTCCTCGAGGGATCACTGAGCTTTAGGAAGCTTCTACACAGCTGATGAGGGTTGGGAGTTGCCCCGTGTGGGAGGTAGGGCTTGTCTTTCATCACTACTCTTTCCTCTAGCCCTCAGGCCTGCTGAGCCTTCTCTTCCCAGTAGCGTGAGAGCCAACTCTCCTCCAAGGTCTCTTTGTGTCCACAGCCTCATATCTAAACAGAACCTGGCCCCGTAGACTGTGCTAAACCAATTACTCAAATGTGCCTGCATCCA